TGCAGCTCCTCATGGTGCAGCTCCTCGTGGTGGTGCTGCTGCGGCTGCTTCTGTGGAGATGTTCTTAATGGCTCAGTTGTTTGGTTAGCAAATTGAACGAAAACAAACTTGAAAAGTTCTTAGCAGAAGCCGCAGCCTCAGACCGATGATGGAATGGAAATGGGAATAGTTATGCAGTCGCAGTGGCAGTTTCCCTTCCCTTCCATCAAAATATTCCTTTTTAAAGTTCTTTTACTACGATTAGTTTTTCCGATTTTTCCATAATTTGAGTAGAATGTCACGGGGCGGGCATATCGATTTGACTCATAATCCCTCCCTCAACGACAGCATTTAACGGGGGGAAAATAGGACGCCAGGATCCCCTAGAATGCCATGCAACTGCTACTGGGCCTGGGGTGGGATGGGAGTCTTTTGCGAATAATTCAATTCAATGAATTTGACACTGCCAGTGCCACTGGCATTCAATTGAATACCAAACAGATGAACAGATGATAGATAGATGTATATATTCATGACTCGCCTCGTGCCCCCAGGACCTGCGATGACCGCTAAGTGCGGGGCATAATGATCATGTTTCCGTTGGTTTCTGTGGTCCACTCGTGAATATAAATTACAGAAATTGCAGTTGCAGGACACATCAGTATGCCCCCTGCATCCCCAAGTGCCATATCTCTCCCGTTCAATTTATTCTGTTTCATTGAGTTTGTTGTAATTGCTTCAAAATTGTTAAAATTGCCGCCACTGGCTGTGCGGCGTGTAGCATGTGGCAAGTGGCAAGGGCAAGGTTGCTGCTGCAGGCTAGGAAAAGGGGTGGAGAAGCGTTTAAAAATTGATGTTGCAACAGCCGTATATTGCAGATGCAGATGCATATGCAGAGGCAGTGGAAGAGGCACAGTAAAAAGGAGGTTAACATGACCTGTCCTCGGCCTTAGGTCCATGTCCGTATGCCCCCAGGCCCCCTTGTGCACCCCCTTCCCGACCATAACAATAACGAACGACGCAACACTTATGTTGGTTTACTTTTTGTTGCTGCCACCACCACCACCACCACCACCACCACCCCTTGCAGCACACTCTCCTGGATGGCTGCCGCACAATGAAGTGGAAGTGGCAGTGGCAGTGGCAGTATCCTAGGACCAGCACCAGCATAGTCGTAAAGAAAGTACTGTCACTGCCAGTACTGCAGCCACATTCCACATTCCATATGCTACGACTCGTTAATGCTACATGCTGCATGCTACATGAAATTTGCTGTTGAAATATAACCTTCACTTGCAGCAGCCATCTGCAGCAGCAGGTCAAAGCCTCAACGTTGTTTGGTTTTTTGTTTTTTTTTTTGTCTTTCTTTCTTTTTTTTTAAAGCCAAACCCAGGGAAATCGTGCAAAAATTGTGGGGCATGATGAAGAGATAAATAAGAAACAATTATGCTAAAAATGTCTAAAAATTGCAAGAAATATGCAAATATGCAGTTGTCCTATGCACACTTGAACATGGGGTTTGATCCAAAGTTTGATCTACCGCTTGAGCTGTACATTTATGAAGTTTTAGTCCGAATAATCGGACAATCAGTGATGAAAACCCTACCCAATCGGGAATGAAATTAATGGCTACTTCCTCTCCTTCTTGCTGTCTTCCTCAGCGACCATAATCAGAGTTGCATTGTGTGTAGGATGTAGCGATAAAAAAAGTGGAAGAGGCGATGGAGGGCAATTACAGTAGCAGAATGTAGTGAATAGATAGAGAGAGAGAGAGAGAGAGTTGTGGGGAAAGTTCTGCCGTTTAAGCGGGAAAAAGTATAGGGTTTACATATATACATATGTGTATATACTTTTTTTAATGGCTTTCAATGATTAAATTGTTGATAACAATTTTAAGCTTCACTTCCTTTCTCTGCCGCTCTGCCCAAGACTCTTTTGTGTTACGCTCGTTAGCATCTTGTTGTTGTTTTTGACCAACTTTCCACAGAGGGAAAAACAGATACGACGGCTGCAAGCTGGAAGCCTGTTGGTTGGGGAGGAGTTCCATGTAAACTTTAACGTGGGCATAACAATGTGCCCTTAACTTGGCCCAGACACTGCTGCTGCAGTTCTTTCCTTCTCTCTTACGCTCTGCTCTCTCTCTGTCGTCTCCGCTCTTCTGTCTTCTGTCTGCTTTCTGAACACTCTTTTTCTGCCTCTGTCAATTTCAATGTGCAATTACTTGGAATTTGTTTGAAGTTTCTAAAGCAGAAGCAGCAGCAGCAAAAGTTTTTTCATTCCTTCAGGGTCTCCTCTCGTCCTTCTTCCACATTAAAAATTTAATTACGATTCCATGGACATCCCACAAATCGAAATGAGAAATGTATTCAAGCAAAAAAATACACTTGGAATCCTTCAGCATTTACTGAAAAAATGGATTCAATCCAAAGAATTCATTCGCGAACATCTTTACACATTGTGTGAATGCCACAGGCTTTGTGGCATTTTCGAGCATTCAACTAATCGTCTAACACTTTTTTTTCGAAAATGGATACATGGTTCAATAAAGAATACGATTCTTTCTTTCTTTTCTGGAAGAATTTAGATAAAATTCTCATTCTTTCCCGCAGCATTTCCTCCAAGTATAATTACGCGATAGTTTGGTTTTTTATGTATTTATTACGGGTTTAAGTGACTTGTAAGTGAATTTCTGATTCGAAGAGTTACATTTTGCTAGGCCTTCGGTTCATTGTTGATGCATTGATTTAATGATGAATCCGTTTCGCGGCTTTTGCCACTGCTGGTGTCCATTTGGAATTCTGAAACCAGGGACTTTGCCAAGGCACATGGCATGGGGAATAACTTAGGACACGTTGTGCATTTTGATGGGGTGAAAAGAGGCTGAGGATGGGAAAAAGTAGGATATTGAACTGGAGCAGGTCTCTGTTTTGCCCTTTTTCGCATCATTGCCTCCTCCTTTTGCTCCGCTAAAAAATGTGGTGGCAAGAAAATATATAAAATGGGTGTGCGTGGCGGATGCGGATCCAGAGGGTTGCCTTCACGAAAAGCGGTCGGTTTTTCCACCCTTTTATTACTGTTTTATTTTATGATTATTATGACTTTTGATGTCAGTCAAATGGCTGTAAATATCAATCGGGGTCAGAGGTTAAAAATCTGTGTAAAACACACAAACCACACACCAAAAAAAACTGTTTCCTTCGTTGCAGTTTCCATTGCCATTTCCATTTTCACTTCGATTTCGATTTAGTTTTTATTTCTGTCGGTTTATCAAAAACACCGACAGTGAAGCTCGAACTCGAAACTCAAACTATTTCAATTCCCCAATGCATACGGATATGTGTGCAACATACAATAAATAAATATCTCTGCCACACGGCCAGCCAGCCAGCCATCCGTAGGGGTAGGGCCAGACAATAATCGTAATAATAATGACAGCAACACCGATGTACCAATCGATGCGCAAGAAGCCAAGGCAATGGCTGTAAACAATCTGTGGAAAAGGATGCAGGGCGGGGGAGGAGTAGCAGGAGGCGGAAAAGCCAATCAAAGGATGAGAGAACAGAGAAAAAGAGAGATAGGGAGAGAAAAATAGTATACAATTTTCAATGCATAAGCAAACTCCAACCAACACCAACTTCACATTTTTTCCCATGAATAACGAATGAGCTGCCAATTTTCGGAATGTTTTTACTGTTATTCCTGCCTTGGCCAGAGCTGCCAGACTCTTTGGTATTTATCGATTATTTATCGATAGAAGAGGACCACGGATTAGTATGCTTTAAGAGGCAAATAACAAATAACTCGAGGGAAACTATCTGGATACAAGTTTCCAATGGAAAATTGTGTGTTTACAGAGAGATATGTATGTATATACTAAATTGAATTCCACATGTGGCATAAAGTTTCTTTTCTATATTTCTGGTTGAATAAGTAACCTTGGAAGCCTTTTGCTGTCTCTACTTCCTACTTCATCCTGTCAAAAGATGTTCATCTCTGATTTCGGTGTTTGTTTTAAGAGCTTTCTCTCTCCCTCTCTGTTGTTGTGGTCATTTCCTTGGGGGTTGATTATATGTTTGTTTTATGAATATCTTTCAATTTATTTCTCTAACAAACACCAATGCAAATGCCAAACACACACACACACACACACACACACAAACTCTTGATAGAAGAAACACGCTATACGCACGCAAAAAAGACAATAAAATAAATTAGAACGAAAATAAAGCAACAGCTTCTTCCTGTCAGAGAGATCTGCTCTGTATATAGTATATAGTATTTGTTGTATATCGTTATGTACCCCACTGTATTTATGTGTATGTGTATGTGTCTTTCAATGTATGTTCGCTTGTGCCTTCAACTGTACCAATGTTCCATTCCGTTTCGTTTCTTTTTCAAAACACACGCACACGCTATTAAAATAAACAAAAAATGTACATATAGAAAAAGCTGCTTTAAATATTTAAAACAGAAATAATGAGAACGATGAAAGGGTTTTCCAATGCCGTTTAGTTTTATGCAAATGAACTAAAAAATTACGCACAAAAAAGAAACCAAATGCAAAAGGAAAACCAAACAAAAATGACAAAAAAACGACAAGAAACAAATTCGAAATTAATTTGCATTGAATAACAAAACAGTCTCTGCCCTGGCCGAGGCCGCTCTTCACACAGTTTCAGTTTCAATTTCAATTTCAGTCAAGGATAAAGCGACAAACGGAAAAACAACGACAAACCAAAAGTAAAAGAAAAAGAGAACGAGCAAAGGAGCAAATGTAAAGCAACAAATTAATAGAAAATGAAGTGCCAAATTGTTAAAAGCAACAAAATTCAATTTAAGAACGAAATCTAAACAGAAAGAGATAAGAAAAATAGAGCAAGAGACGGAGAGAGAGAAAGCGAGTGACTTTAAAACGGTAATCGTTTCGGGTTCCTTTCGGTTTCGTTTCGTTTCGCGCGATTTGCGGTGTTTCGTTCTCCTTTGGTGCGTGCTTTGCGTTACGTTCCGTTCTGTCTCCGTGTTTCGCCTCCTGTATATCTATCATTTTTTTCCGCTGTCGGGCTCTCTCCAAATGGGTTTCAATTCCTGATGATGGAGACATTTCTTGTCCTGGGCCTGTGTTTTATCCTGTACGAAGCATTGGATTTCTTTCAAGGCTGCATCCACAGCAACACCCCAACGCCGAGCGACCAGATCGAGGCCTATCGCCGCGAACTCGACGAACAGCGCCAGCAGCAGCAGCAGGAACAGTTCCTAGCGGGTCTAACGCCCCTGCTGGGCGCCCAATTTGCTGCCGCCGCCGCCGCTGCCGCTGCAGCAGCCTCCTCAGGCTCCCAGTCGACGCTGGGCAGCACCACAGCCACGCCCACAGCCTCAACGGCGAGCGTCATTAGCGATTCGTACGACCAGGACACACATTCCCATTCACAGGAGGTCGCCTCACAACAGCAGCAGCAGCACTCCCTGAGTACACCAGGACTTTTCCGTCCTGCTGCTTTGGGCTACTACGATCCGGAGGATCCGCTGCATGCCACATCGTCGCTGCCACGCGACTTTTACTACCTGCAGCAGCAGCAGCTGAAGAACAAGGCCAGCGCCAAGTCGCTGCTCTCGAAGTTCTCGTCCACGAACTCGGACAATCGCATCTACCCCGAGGCCGGGGCCAGCACGGGGCACAGTCTGCTCGGTGGAGGAGTCATCACCCATCAGCCACTGCCCGTGGTGCCACCCACTGAGGCATCATCCTCGAGCCTCTTTGACTGCCAGCCACCGACTGTGGCACCGCACCAGCTGCAGGCGCCCTCCCCGTTGCTCCTGGAACTGAAGCGTGCAATCATCAGCCATCAGTCGCACGCACACACCGTGTTGGACGAGGACGACGAGGAGCTGATCAGCAGCGACAACGGTTGTCCACAGTGCGAGGAGGAAGAGCAACAGCAGCACCAGCGGCGCCAGGAAGAGCTCTACGACAACGAAGTGCAGGAAGAGGAGGAGGAGGACGACGATCTCTCCTACAACAGCAACAGTCCACCGTCCTCCGACCGCGGAACGACGACAACGGTGCACAGCAGTGAGCCGAATATCAGCGCCTTACTGCCACGCATCCATCACATAGCCATCGACGACCTTGGCACAGCGACGGGGACGTCGGCCTCAACCAACGGACACTCGGACTCCATTTCTGGCTGCGGCCTGGCGGCCACATCACACGCCGACTTTCGGGAGATCGAGTGCGAGCGTCTGCGACGAAAGTGCGTGAGCGTAAAGCGCATCTATAGCATATCGGAGAAATTCTAAATCAAAACATACTCGAAATTCGCTATTCGATAAACAACTGACTGTCTCATTAACACCTGTACAAAGCAATCGATCAAAAAAAAAAAAAGACTCAGTAAAAAACTCACCATTGCACCACCCGCACCACCGCCAAAAGCCAAAAAAGAAATCATCGCTCAAAAAAAGAATCGCAAAATCAAAAATCAACATTATCAAAACCAAAGCAGATATCAATCGAAAATCTCAAAAATCAATTTGAAAAAAAAAAACCAAAATCCAAATGCAACCAAAATCACAACAAAATTGCCCACAAAAGCGAAACACCCCACACCACAAGGTTAGCAAAAAGAAAATATGCAAGCAAGAAAAACCCATCGAAAATTCACCATACAAATCTGGAGATTCATAGATCCTAGGATCCATGCCATAAAATCAGCACGACAGACATAAAAAATCTGAGAGAAATCCAACACGAAAGAAAAAAAAATAAATATATATTACAATAACAATTAATTATTGTATCCCCCACAAAAGAATTTGCACATCTTGAAGAATTTACCTTTTGTTTTTCCAGTCGGTTTCTGTTTTTGTAGCCTCGCACACAAACACACTGCCATTTGCCTGCCACAAGATGCAGCAAGCACCATCACCCGAAGCCCAGCATACGTGATCAGCCTTTAACTCAAGCCACCTTTCGCTTGAATCACTCAATCACCAATCAATCACTGGCTCGTTCTCACGCTCTCTATTTCTCGCTCTCACTCTCGCTCTCAATCTCATCGCATCGCATTGCATCGCACACTTTTCACTTGAGTTTTCCATTACAGCACCTCTTGGTAGCACCCACCGAAACACCCCACCAACCACCCATAACTTTTCTTACAACATTTAGCCCTGTTCATGGATACCAATCACATCGAGAAAAGGATACTAGAATATTACACATAACATTATGCCGGGATCTCCGCCCTTTTTATTTGTTCCTTTTCAAAAAATGTATTTATTATCTCTTAGTTATTTATTAATCGGATTCCAGTAGCGAAATGCAAGCAGCTAAATGCAAGAGATATTCATCGATTTTGTTAGGAAAAAAATTAGACTCTCCCCTGATTAATTGTCTTTGGATATATTTTCATCGAAAATAAACAATCTTTCGCTTTCGGTCTCTTTCTCCCATTTACTCTCTTTCAATCTGCTCCCTCGACACCTTTGTTCTCATTCTAACTTTCTGTTTTGAGCCACAATTCATTTGAATATCTTGACCACATTTGTAGTACATTCGTTGCACTCGTCATCAGACTGCCTTTTGTATTTCAAATCATTTTCAAAAAACTTTCTACAAAGTTGACCAAAAGCGAAAAGCAATCTCACTCCTTGTCTGGTGGCCAAAAAAAATTCTAGTAGGAGACACAGAGAGAGAGAGAGAAAACATAAAGAGCGATGATATTTAAATAGATTTTTGCATACGATTATTTCCAAGAGAAGCAGAAGGAAGAGCACAACCAGTGCACTGCTCCTTCAGTGGCAGAAGGGAGCAAAAGTTGTGGCAAATTTTGTGTTGTACACATATTTTGGGGGGGGTGGTTGGCGTTGAGTCAAGGCTCAGATTTATGCGTGTGTTTATCCATTGGAGTCACAAGGGGGTGGGGAACCATACTCTCTCTCCTTGTCTCTATTTTTCTCTCTATTTTCCATTCCGGCCACAGCTTAAATTTTCCTGCCATCAGGAACTTTTTGTATTTGTGTTTAGATATTTTTTGTGTTGGTTAACTTTTAGGCTCTGTTGAATTTACTCGGGGAATTCTTTTGGGTAGAACCTTTATGCGGGTGGGGAGGAGGGGTTTTGGTAGACCAGAGTACGAGAGTACCAAAGGACCAAAGGACCCCAGGAACAACAAATATGCTAACTAGTTACTGGCTATTGCCATGGACCTTTGCTGTGCTGCTGCCTTTAAACCTCTGCTCTGCTCTTGACTGTTATGCAAAGTAAATTGTGCATAATTGTCAGGACTAGGACACACAACAGACAGCGAGCGAGAAGGCGGGACAGAGCACTATGGTCCCAATGACCACTTTTGTTGACCAAAATATTAACTCGCCAACGAAATAAGATATTTTGATTTAGTCTTTTGATATTAGTTAAGAATAGCGAGAGGAGGGTTTTTTTTGATGGAAAATCGGTTTTTAATTTTTTTCTCAAAATGTTAGAAGCAAAAAAGGATGGGGGGGGATATGTTTAGCAGTGCAAGATTCTATTAAAAAAGTCGTAGTGTGAATTAAAACACCTTAAAAATCCAAGATAATACAATTTTGGTCTACGACACACAATAGGCTTACTAGGCCTATGCGGCTTACTAGGCGTTACTAGGTGACACTCTATTAAAAAAACTTTTTCAAAAATTAGTTTTCACTACGAACTGATACATATGGCCTCACTTGAACATACAATTACGAAGACATCGCCAACTACTAGATACCGTTCACATTACAAAACATGTAGTAAAAACCCTACTGAATAAAACGCATCCAAAAAATTGGATCAGTTTATCGTATTTTTCAATTTATGAGATATTTAAAACAGCAATAGAATTGGTACTTTTTCACTGCACATGCTGTGTAATAATGACCGCTGGGTTTCACAGCTGATTTTGCGAAGGTGACGCCATCTATGCAAATTTCTGGTAAGCAACATTGATGGTCACCTCTTGGTTTTAACTTTTAAAAATTAGCTTATGGCCAAAAAAAGTGGTCATTGGGACCATAGTGCAGAGGACACACGCACGCATATACATATGTATGCAAATGGCAGTAGCAGTAGCAGTAGAAGGAGCAGGAGCCCAGGACAATGACTAATTTTGCCATCATTGTTGGTGGTATAGCACACACAAAAAGTGAGGACCCACACACAAACACACAAATACACAAGATAGAGAGGAAGGATGTGGCATTACTATCATAGCTAACAAATTGTCGCAGCAGCCAGGATGACTGTCTCTCACACTTTTTGGCCATATCCTTTCAATTATTCTATAAACGGCGCTACGAATTTTGCTTCGATTTCATTTCTCGTTACCGCGCACCATTCCCATAGATACGCAAACACAAAGACGCATCTATGTACGTACATATGTGTGTGTGTATGTATGTGTCAGCTGTCCGTGTATCCTTCTGTGTGTGTGCGTATCCTTGGCCCGCATTTTTCCTTTACTACTGTTTCGTATCCATCCCTCTGGTGATTCTTCTTTTGTGTCCAGCAAGAGAGAGCGAGAGAGTGGGTGGGACAAGAGAGAGAGAGAGAGAGAGACAGAGCAAGCAGCAGCAGCAGCATTCAACGTTCAACGGTTTTGTTGTAATCTTTTGGTCTTTTCTTCATCATCGTTTAGCTTGATGTGGTTTTTCCCTTCGACTTAATCAGTTTTGCTATTGTTTGTTTTCCCTCGTTTCTCTGTTCTTTTCTCTGTTCTGCCACACACACAAAAACACACATGTATGTATCCCCCCTCTACCAACCCCACCCCCCGGTTTCCACTCTGTTTCTCTGTCTGTCAAAATGCGAATACGGATGCCGGATCCTTTGGCCATTCATTTCTTTGTTGCTTCTCGTCGAATGATGCCCAGAAAAGTATGCTACGATGTTGGTTGCAATTATAATGAGCAGAGGCAGAGAGAGCGGGAGAGAGCATAGATGTCCATCCTTTCCCCAAGGACATGGCATTCAAGGGTAATATTCCTTCTACATCATTAGGCCACCGCCCTCCGTTGCCATGCTTTTAACAATCAGTCATGGGTTAAGAGCTTAACCCATTCAACCCAACAGCAACAACAACATTTTCTGTATGGCATATATTTTTTGACCAAAAATCAAAATCCGCACATGGGAAAGTTATTTTATTTTAACGAAATTTAAGTAATGTAAATAAGTCCTCCCCCCCCACTCACTCCATATAATCCCTATCCCCCAACTGCTGCTGTCCTTGCCACTGTGCCACACACTTGTCTAGCGTTAGGTTAATACCCAAAAGAGACATATTAGCAACAGACGGAGCTATGAAGGCGGAGCCATGCTTCAGCTCAATTAATCTCCACCAACTTTGAATTTACAAAAAAAAAAACTCAATTGTGTGATGAGAGAGGAAACTTTTTTGCCTGCTCTTCGGCTTGGGGTGGTAGTGTGCTTTGAGGGTAGCTGTCAGAATCATCCCTTTCTTCAGTCCAGATTTTCCATATATTTTGGCTCCCAAATTTTTTATATTTGTGTCGCTTCACTTATGGGAAATTTGTGCAACGCATTAGCCGTTCCTGTGGGTTCTACCACATATGTACGTAATACTCGATTGTGTTATTCACTACGCGATTCCCATTAGTATATCTACTCTCCGGGCCAACTTTTAAAGCCATCAACGAACCGAACTGAAGGGATTTTCACTAACATGCCTGTCCCCAACAGTGGAATGTATGTTTTTGCCGCATCAAAGTTTCCTTTTAGTTGCCATGCGGATACCGCTTTGGAATGCATTTTATCAGCAGTTCTTCTTGCTGTAGTTTTGTGTATTTAATGAGAGCCTTTCCCCCGGCAAATTCGTTTTGCAATAAAAAGTTTCACAACCGCAGAGTATGCTTCAAGTTTTAATTCGTGGGATTCTCTCTCATACATTTCTGATGCAGTGATCAAATGCAGTCCCATGTGGACTGCACAGACACAGGAGCGTCGCCTGCTGGACCGCACCCAGTCGGAATATGACGCCCATTATAGAACTCGAGTACAGCAACTGGTCCACCATCAAGCAGAAGGATTCGGCCAAAGATCCTCGATCGCGAAAAAAAAACGCAGATGGCTAATTCTTGATATTTTCTATGGTCACTCTACTCTGTATATTTCCATGGTAAAAAAGTGGCTGGAGTCCTAGAGTTCCAATGTTGGTCCAATCCCAGAGATCCAATCGAATCCCTATCAAGAAAATGCTGATGTTTGTGAAGGTGCATTAAGCTTATGAAACATTTTTTTTCTTTTGCAAGTGAAGCTTACCCGTAAGCATCTTGAAGAGAGACTTGCAACAGCTCATTCGAACACGCTTTTGATCAAAAGTGAGCATATCTAACTCGTCGGCGTCCCGGACCTTTTTCATATTCTAAGCTCGTACGTCCACGCTTAGATTCAGCAAACCGAAACTTTACAGCTGTAAATTATATGGCAGAGTCCCCATAGACATCGTCCATCTCGGTTTTGATTTGGGAAGGCCGAACAATATTCATCTGAAATTTTGTCGTGAACATATTAAAAGATGCCAAGTTTGGTTAACGTTCGTCTACGTTGTCTGGCCAGAAAGTTATCAGACAGCCCTCGCATGTTGACAAATAAAAAGAAAATATTTAAAAATAATTTTTTATTTATAGGTAGGCCGACTATTTTTTTCAGCCCGCCCTCTTATACGTATGCCTGCGTGTGTCTGTGTGTGTGTGTTTTAGTGCCATTTGTCATCTTCGGATGTGTGGATGTGTGGATGTGTGCATGTGTTTGACGTGGATATAATTGAGTGTAGTGTGTGGTGTGCTGTGGCAGAAGCTTAAGTCATCGCTGCCCCCAGCTTCTTGTGTGCCGCATTCGCCACACGACCCTTCAACGTATTGAGCTCTCGTCCCGGCAGACATCCGCGCTTGGTCAGATCATCCAGCTTCACGGCAATCACCGTATCGATCTCTGTCTGGCGTTGCACCTCCGCGGCGCGTTCCTTTTCAAACTCCATACGCTCGGCGGCCAGTTCACGGCGACGCGCCCTTTCGCGCTCCTCCATCTGGCAGGCGACGCCCAAGCGGAGATTGTTCCGCTTCACCTTGTCCGCGGCGGCCTCAACTTTACGCTGCTCCGCCTCCTCGGCGCGGAGCTGCATCATGACCCTGTTGTCGCGCTCCCGTTGCGTGTAGTAGCAGGCCTTCATCTGACTGAGGCGATCGAGCTGCTCGAGATTTCCCTTGCGGAGTTCATCGGCGATGCGGCGCTCCTTTTCGGCGGCCTGGCGCTCAGCTTCGCGATACTTGCGCTCGAGGCGCTCGTGCTCGGCTATGAAGCGCATCTCGTCCTGGTTGTCCTTGGCGTTCATCATCTTCTGCTGAACGACAAACAGAGCGTCACGCTGGCGCTTCACCTCAGCCTGCTGGGCCTTCCTCTCGGCTAGCTCCTGTCGCAGTTTGGCCTCCTTCTGCAGCAGGTAGTCGTAGGCGCGCCGCTCGTCACTCTGATCCTGCTGGCACAGCATGCGCACAAACTCGCGATGCATCTTTGAGTACTTGTCCAGCTCCTGGCGATAGCTCTGCTTCCCCTTGGAGACGGCCTGGACGTGGTGGGCCTCCGCTTTCTTGAATTCATCGACAGAGACTCGCATCTCGTGTGCCTCCTGCTGCTGCCGATCCTGGGCGGTGAACCGCATCTTTTCGCGATCGAGTATCTGCTGGCGGACATCCGCACCATACTGGCGACGCTTGATCTCATCGATCGCATCCTTCTGCTTGTCGGTGCCCCACTTACTGTTGTTGTACTCGAGATTCTTGCGCGCCTGATGGGCGTCACATTCTGCCTGGGCGCGGTCAAGCAATTGACGCTCTTGTACCTGTGCGGTCCAAATGGCGCTGCATTTGGCCTCCGAAATGGCCTTGGTGGCCTCCCGCACTCGCTCATCCATTTCGTATCTGACATTCAGCGAATGCTGCAACACCTTGAGGCGACTCGCCTCCGCTCGCTGCTCCTCGTCGACGTCGGCCGCCTCCATATCCTGCTGGCGCTGGAGCTCCTTCTCGCGCCGCTGCCCGTCAATGGCACGGAAATAGCTGCGTATCCGTTCGGTCTCTTCCGTCTGTTGGCGCTGTTCTTCCTGCTTCATGGCCTGCTCGGCCCGCTTCTCGTCGGCGGTCTTTGGACGCCCCGATCGCATTCGCTCCAGCTCAATGGGAGTGAGCTCGGCAAAGCCCTTCGACTCCCACGACTGGCCCTGCACATGGAAGAACGTAGCCTTTCCGGACTCGGCACGCTTCTCGCTGGGCGTCGGTTTGTTGCCGCCGATGCGACGCGCCATGACGGCCAAGGCACCTGGGACACGTCCCGGTGGACGTGTGCCCGGCGGCAGCATGCGTTTGCCATTGGCGTCCTTGGTCTTCACCGGCCTGTCCTTGCGCACGCCACATGGGATTTCCTGCTGCTGCAACATCCCAGCAGCTGCATTCTTGTAATACACCAACTTTCCGGTGCGATCAAAGCAATCGGGCGACAGCCGCGCCTGCGATGCCCGCGGCTCGCAGGGAATTCTTTTCTTTGACATCTTTCGAGCGAGTAATTGTTCTATCCGAAAATCTGTCAGTACGGGGGCAGTACGCAATCTCTGACAGTATGATCGAGGCCTGCTTTAGGCACCCTTGGAAAACAAGTGGAGGCGTGGAGTCCTGCGTTTACTTCCGCCTGCTTTGAGTCGACATTTTGGAGGCGTTGATGCTTGCCCCAGCCACAGAGCCATTTGCCCCTTCTTCTGTATTCAGTCAGTGGCGCATGCAGCAGCCCCTCCACCCACTTGCTGCACGCTGTTTTGGCTTCTCTCTATGCCGCAGCAGCGGCAACTGCAGGTGGCATGAAAATTTAATTATACGCCTCGCTGAGACGGTGCTGACACTGCTGCTGTGGACGGTGCTGGCAGTGCCACAAGAACAATTCTCGGATAAGCGACGGGGAAATTGTTGAACAATTTCATGACAAATTGAGTTGTGGCTTAACTTCAGTTTCTACAGTTAGCACTGGGAAAGGGGGGATGTGCGTGGGCAGATTATGTTGCAAGGAATGTTGTTGCAAGTCAAAGAATTCATAAATCAAGAATTTACACTTTCCAGCTTAACGTTTTCCATTGGTAAAATATTAAATTTCCGGAATGGAAAGTAGATGTCGCTACTAAGCTGAAGAATTTTGTTAATTTTTTAAAATAACTGAAGATTTTGTATCATTAAGTTTCCACTTCATTGGACTGCAAATTGTGTGCCTCCCCGCACATTTCTAGAAAATCTTTAGACCTGAAGAAGAAGCCTTGTTCCGCTCCGTTCATGGAATTCCACTCTGTTCCCTTTTTTAATAAATTCCCAACCACCATGTGCCTCTCTTGAATTAATTCCCTTTTCCTGAATTTTAATATTACTTTAAATATGAATTATTTCTACCACATGCACTACGCATACGCACCGTGGTCGTCTGGTCTACTCTGTTCTGCTCGAGTCTGTCCTGTTGCAAACAACTTTTGCACATTTCAATGGCAATAAAAGTGATTTAATAAGGCACGAAAGCTAACGAAACGAAAGGCGAAAAGCGAAAAGCGAAAGGAGCCCAGAAATGAAAGAAAACAAAAACATAACAATGAAAAAGAGATGCGAAATCCAGAGTGAAATCAGTTTGATTTGTCGCCACAGACGATTGTTGTTGGCGGCGGGGCATAGACAGAGAGGCAGAGTGAGAGGAAGAGAAAGAGAGAGGCTGGGCCACGCCCAGTGCGTGTGATTAAGTGCGCGTTTAATGTGCACGCCATGGCCATAAAACAAATTGTGTGCAATGCCAACAAAAACGGAGACGGAGTCGAAGAGAACCCCGTGGAACCCACTCAATCCTTCAGCTAAAACTTTTGTTGTGCTCGACTGTGCGGTTGTTCGCCTGCTCGCCTGGATCTGTGGGCTTTGAAATGTAAATACAGCTCATTATTTCCAATGCCCTGCCATTCATTTGCAAAGTTTCCAGTCGGCCCACAGACTCTCACTTGCCAACAACTCGTGGCAGTCGCTCCTGCCACACGGAACACTGCCATGACGCTGCAATCGTCAAGTGCTGTAGCTAAAGAATTTCCCTATATTTTTAGCACATCTTTCGATAGATTGTAACTTATTCAGTTTCATCCATCTAAAATGAAAAAATTTTGACCTAAGAATCGATTTGTCCATAAGTTATCGGTAAAAACAAGGCTCATCGATAACAAAATTCGAGTTGTAATTATTTGAGAGAAAGCTCCCTTCGAAAGTTCTACTCCAATTTCACTAAATTGTCTCTAGTTTCCGGCCCAGTGTGTGTCTTGCCTGGTCTTGGGTCAAGAACTGTGAGTGGGAGGTGGGAAGTGGTTCTTGGGTCACCTTTAATTAACTGTAATGTCAGCTGGTGGCAATGGCAGTGGCAGTGTGGCAACTTGGCCAACGTGTGTGTAATGGTCTCCTCTTGCCACTGGATATGTGTGTGTGTGTGTGAACCGCTCCAAGGGTTTATTATTTTCACTTAATTTTTGCTTGAATTCCCCATAGATTTTTTTTCCTTTTTTTCCTGGGTTTGTTTTTGTTTGGTTGTTAATGTTTTTTTTCTCTGCTGTGCTGCTGCTGCCCCGAACTTTAGTCTTTTGCTTTGCTTGTCTATTCAATTTATGTGCCACAGGAGGAGGCACGAGGCTGAGGTCGATGCAGAGGCAGAGTCAGAGGCGAATCAAATGGCGAATCATCACAGCTAGGCAGAAAAAAGAAAACAGACAACAGAAAAGAAGAAAAGAAGAAAATGGGACGGAGAATGGATTCTCTTGTTTGTGCGGGGGGGCCTAAGGATGGCAACAAAATGCTGCTCAAATTGACTGGGCCCGTTCCCAAAAGGTAGGGGGAGGATGACTCGACGCACATACACGGACAGGTGATGCTAAAAAGGATCTCTGGATCGTACGTCCTTCCTCTGCGAAGAAGGCAAAAGTCAGAGGCAACTTCCTGTCCTGGTGCTGGTCCTGGGCTGGTCCTGGCCTTGGCGACAAGGCATGTTTCGCCTGCTGCACAATGGAAAATAATTCATAACTTGGCTCAAATGTTTGATTTAGCTGCAGTTAATACACTGTTTGTATTTATGTATGTGTTTGTGTGTGCCACCCAAAGGACAACCCACACACACCGGCCCTGCCCATAGAAATTCTCGACAGTCAGTCCTGTTCCCACAAACAAAACTCTTGGCATATTTCTGCTTCTCATCCTGTTGGCCATACGTCGGTTTGCATAAATTTTACCAAGCCACAGCCCTATCCCCCCGCAGTAGCAGTAGGCAGAAAGGACGCACGCTCCTCTGCCCGGGTCCTGTTGACAGCAACGTTTCTCCTTTTCTCTGTGTCTCTCTCTAGGGCAGCAGCAACAGCAGCAGCAGATAAATTACGCTTGAAGCGCCTGGGCCAATGGAAGCGGAAGAGCCAACGGATGATGGCAGCCAAAGCTAAAGCTAAAGCCAGAGACAGAGATACAGCAAGAGCAAGAGCCCACAGGCCAAGGACTGTATGCTTATTTTTCTTCAACTGTAACTGCTGCTAGAACCGTAAAAGATGAGCTAGAGAAATGTGCGGGGTACAGGGGGCATTGGAGTGTGGGGCGTGGTGGCATCAGGGCACACATGAGGCCTGCTTTGGGCGACAGGCGACAAAAGTTTAACAGCGAATCGTTTTCTACTTGCTTTTCTGCAAAGTTAAAGCTTACATTTGGATATTTCGTGAGTTATCGGTTAATTATCGATAATATAAATCGATAATTGTTAATTCATCAAACTGGGAAGTTTAATCGAAAAGATCACTCCTGAAAAATAATTTAAATGCGTTTGAATAAGAATTTACAAAGCAAAAATGAAGAAATATTTATTTCTGACATTCTTAACTTCGCAATAGCCCATCGATAACAAAATGGGTCTCAAATGCTTCGATATTTTCTTGAAATTACAGCGAAGATGTTCTTATACCCGGTACTCGAAGAGTAAATAGGGTATATTGTATTTGTGTGGAATAACGGTTGTATGTAACGCACAGAAGGAAGCGCTTCCGACCCCTTAAAGTATATATATTCTTGATCAGCATCAATAGCCGAGTCGATTGAGCCATGTCTCTCTGTCCGTCTGTCCGTCTTGTTTGTCGGCTAGTTCTCAGAGACTATAAGAGCTAGAGCCACCAAATTTTGCATCCAGACTGCTATATGCTCACACTGAAACCAGTGTATTTCAAAAATGAGCCACGCCCCCTTCCGCCCCCGCAAAAGGGCGAAAACCTCCCAAATCTACAACTTTGAAGATAAAAGAAAACTAAAAACGCCATTCCGTAGGAAATGGCCATATCTATCAGATCACCAAATTGGGATCCGATTGGATCATTATTATAGCCACAATGGAGAAATTAATTTCCACTGGCTAAACCCACCCTGCCTCCAGCTTTTGTTGCTCGTTTTACATTCTCTCATTCACACTCTGCTTCTGCTTCACTCGGCCCCTGCCTCTGCCCTCCCCCTGGCGCTGACTCTTCCGACTTTTAACCCACCCCGTCCCGCAGCTTATATTTGTTTATTTTTTTGTGTGAGGGCGCTGCCTCTGCGTCTGCCGCAAGTCAGCAGTATGTGGGTCTAGGGAAGGGCGGCAAGCGTGTTAGTGTGAGAAGTGTTGTAGATGTAGATGACAGATGAAGAAAAAATTTAAAATTTGACAAAACACCGCTAAGGTGCAGATGTAGTACTGAGTGCCGGGTATAAAAGTTGTGACGCGTAAGAAGCGTCTCACACGTCCCTTCTCGTTAAACTTATTTTCAAAAGTAAAACTTGACGATTTATCCTACTGTGTTTTTTTTTTTGACTTGCGCTTCCTGGCGTCTTGCTTATCCTGGCATTTGCCTATCTCTTTTGTAATGTCTTCGGCGGCCTCGTGCAACACGAATACTGGATGATGCCTGGAGCGGCTGTAGTCTGTTATAAATTTTTAACAACCATTTAACTTGAATTTTATTAGTCCCCAGCCAGTGGTCAGCACAGCACAGAATGATGGAGCGACATGGCCTCTGTCATGTTTGCTTCTGCTCCTGCTGCTATTTCAGCTGATGGTGTTGCTTCTGTTTCTGCTTCGTATATTTTTGATCCAACAATGTGGCAAATGCCGATGCCGCACAATGTCGCACATCATACTGTGTAATATTTCATTTTGCAGTTCATCTTTGGGACATTCCAGTGTAGTTTTTATGGGGCCCACTTCTTAGTTATTGATAGTGCTCCATGCTGCCACACTTGCCACACTGTGTGGCCCATAAATTATACAATTGACTGGCTGTGAGAGTGACTGTTACAGGCTAACAGCTGAAATAACAGTCACTGAAACTGACAATGCAGGCAGCCTCAGTCGGGACTCTTGTGCTTCTCCCAGTTGTGCGCCCGATGTCGGCCGATAATCATCTCTGGCCAAAAAAAAAGTCCAGTCTCCAACTCTTGCTTTCTTCAGTTATTTTTTATTTCGTTTTACGCTTGATTCTCTATGACTTTTCTTTATTTTTTTGCA